AAACAGCCAAATTCTGCCACAGAATTTTTAGTCATTTCGTCGTAACAACAAATTTCACACTGAAATGGACCTTTCAGCATTCTCGACGCCCGTACGAGACTCGCATTTTGCCAACACTAATAATTTATAGAACCTTATCACGGGACATGAAATTAATGGCATTGTTTTAAGCTAACAATAAAGTGTCTGCACTCTGAAGGAGGGGTAGGGATATTTAAATTTTTCTAAGGAAATATCGACGCCCGTCTGGCAAGACGGTGATGGAGTGAGTGATGGTAAAAGTATTTTTTCTCTTTTGGGCCACCCTTCCTCGGTGGGAAACGGCAGTATATATATATATATATATATATATATATATATATATATATATATATATATATATTATATATATATATATATATATATATATATATATATATATATATAATTATTTCAACATGTCGGCCGTTTCCCACTGAGGCAGGGTGACCCAAAAAGAGAAACATTTTCACCATCATTCACACATAATCACTGTCTTTGCTGAGCCGCCCAGATGCGACAGTTCAGGTGTCACTCTAAACAGCCAATATCTCAAACCCCTCTTTTATAGGACAGGTAATGTACTTCCCACCTCCAGGACTCAAGTCCGGCTAACCGGTTTCCCTGAATCCCTTTACAAAATATTACCCTGCTCATACTCCAACAGCAATATACTCCAAACTATGAGTTCTAACTTCTGATTTCTACCTTCCCTGTTCTAATTCCCGAGCTCTAGCTTCTTGGATCGTGAATATCTAAAGTTTGGAGCATCCACAAAACAAAACAACTCGTTAAAATCTAGTTTGTCTGTATTAAACCTCCTGCTGCAGCTCCATGTGACCCTCCATAAAATGAATTTATTTCATCTGCATAAATTTTCTGCGATGATTACCATCTCTGTGAACTTATACCAAAGAAAAATGTATTTCGATATCCCGTGGATAATTAGGTGCTTTATGAGAACTCTCATTTGGTCAGCAATTGTGTTGAAACTGCAGGCTCAGCAGCAACTCCTGCAGCAGCAGTTGTAGCAGCATTTGTGTAACAACAGCAAAGACAGCAACAACAAAAGAAGCAGCAATTGCTGCAGCAACAGCAACAACAGAAGCAGCAACTGCTGTAGCAACAGCAACAACAGAAGTAGCAACAGAGGCAGCAACTGCTGCAGCAACCCTGAAGTTAGTTGACCCCACCCCGAGGTCACTTTACCCTCACCAAGATGGGGTAAAGTGACCTCGATATGTGGGTTCAGTGACCTCGAGGTGAGTGTCAAATATCCTCGGGGTTGAGATCGATTAACCCCGGGGTAGGGTGGGGGTCAGCCATGTGGAAGGGGGAGTCATCTCACCCCGGGGTAGGGGTCATCTAGCTCCGGGGTGGGAGTCATCTAACTCCGGGGTAGGGGTCATCTAACCCCGGGGTAGGGGTCATCTAACCCCGGGGTAGGGGTCATCTAACCCCGGGGTAGGGGTCATCTAACCCCGGGGTAGGGGTCATCTAACCCCGGGGTAGAGGTCATTTAACCCCGGGGTAGGGGGTCATCTAACCCCGGGGTAGGGGTCATCTAACCCCGGGGTAGGGGTCATCTAACTCCGGGGTAGGGGTCATCTAACTCCGGGGTAGGGGTCATCTAACTCCGGGGTAGGGGTCATCTAACTCCGGGGTAGGGGTCATCTAACTCCAGGGTAGGGGTCATCTAACCCCGGGGTAGGGGTCATCTAACTCCGGGGTAGGGGTCATCTAACTCCGGGGTAGGGGTCATCTAACCCCGGGGTAGGGGTCATCTAACTCCGGGGTAGGGGTCATCTAACTCCGGGGTAGGGGTCATCTAACTCCGGGGTAGGGGTCATCTAACTCCGTGGGTTAGGGGAGTCATCTAACTCCAGGGTAGGGGTCATCTAACTCCGGGGTAGGGGTCATCTAACTCCGGGTAGGGTCATCTAACTCCGGGGTAGGGTCATCTAACTCCGGGGTAGGGGTCATCTAACTCCGGGGTAGGGGTCATCTAACCCCGGGGTAGGGGTCATCTAACTCCGGGGTAGGGTCATCTAACCCCGGGGTAGGGGTCATCTAACCCCGGGGTAGGGATCATCTAACCCCGGGGTAGGGGTCATCTAACCCCGGGGTAGGGGTCATCTAACCCTGGGGTTGGTAAGCAAAGCGAAAGGTAAATGGCCTCGGTCAGGGGAGGGGGGGGGAGGGGAAGAAAGAACACTTGCTTCATAAAACACAGAATACAACACAAATATCTTTATTAATACAACGTTTCTCCTATACGAGGCTTCATCGCTCAGATGAAACGTCGTAGTAATCAAGATCTTTTTACTGGTAGTGTCTATTTTTTTCACTTGCTAACTGCGCCGTATTTCCACTTTCGTGTAGAGTTAAAACAAACCGCTGGCAGCAATAATTAAGCCTGGTCAAAATGTGTAGATAAATAAAGCACTAAACGCAGACGAAGCTTTTAGAAAATAAACAGAAACAATGGTTACTGGGAACAAACAGAAACAATGGTTACTGGGAACAAACAGATGCAATGGTTACTGGGAACAAACAGACGCAATGGTTACTGGGAACAAACAGAAACAATGGTTACTGGGAACAAACAGACGCAATGGTTACTGGGAACAAACAGAAACAATGGTTACTGGGAACAAACAACCAATGGTTATGGAACAAAGACAAGGTAACTGGGGACAAACCAGAACAATGGGTACTGGGAAAAGAACAGATAAAACACAGAAACAAACAGAAACAATGTTATGGAACAAACAGAAACAATGGTTACTGGAATACGAGCGCAATTACCTGCGAATGAAACGAAACAATGTTATGGGTAACAAACAGACGAATGTGTTACTGAATTTAACAACGCATTGGTAACTGGGAACAACAGAAAATTCCAATGGTTACGTGGGACAACGAAACAGACTGGACAACAGAAAATGTAACTGGTAACAAACAGAAAAATGGTATGGAACAAACATAAACAATGTTACTGAACAAACAGACGAATGGTTACTGGGAACATAACAGAACAATGGTTACTGGGAACAAACAGAAACAATGGTTACTGGGAACAAACAGACGCAATGGTTACTGGGAACAAACAGACGCAATGGTTACTGGGAACAAACAGAAACAATGGTTACTGGGAACAAACAGAAACAATGGTTACTGGGAACAAACAGAAACAATGGTTACTGGGAACAAACAGACGCAATGGTTACTGGGAACAAACAGACACAATGGTTACTGGGAACAAACAGAAACAATAGTTACTGGGAACAAACAGAAACAATGGTTACTGGGAACAAACAGAACAATGGTTACTGGGAACAAAAACCAAGTTATGGAACAAACAAACTGGTTACTGGGAACAAACAGAAACAATGGTTACTGGGAACAAACAGAAACAATGGTTACTGGGAACAAACAGAAACAATGGTTACTGGGAACAAACAGACGCAATGGTTACTGGGAACAAACAGACGCAATGGTTACTGGGAACAAACAGACGCAATGGTTACTGGGAACAAACAGAAACAATGGTTACTGGGAACAAACAGAAACAATGGTTACTGGGAACAAACAGAAACAATGGTTACTGGGAACAAACAGAAACAATGGTTACTGGGAACAAACAGAAACAATGGTTACTGGGAACAAACAGAAACAATGGTTACTGGGAACAAATAGAAACAATGGTTACTGGGAACAAACAGAAACAATGGTTACTGGGAACAAACAGAAACAATGGTTACTGGGAACAAACAGAAGCAATGGTTACTGGGAACAAACGGTTACTGGGAACAAACAGGAGTAATGGTTACTGGGAACAAACAGGAGCAAGGTTACTGGGAACAAACAGAAGCAATGGCTACTGGGAACAAACAGAACCAATGCTTACTGGGAACAAACAGGAGCAATGGTTACTGGAAACAAACAGAAGCATTGGTTACTGGGAACAAACAGAAGCAATGGTTACTGGGAACAAACAGAAGCAATGGTTACTGGGAACAAACAGAAACAATGTACTGAACAATAAAACAATGGTTACTGGGAACAAACGGAAGTAATGGTTACTGGGAACAAACAGGAGCAAGGTTACTGGGAACAAACAGAAGCAATGGTTACTGGGAACAAACAGAAGCAATGGTTACTGGGAATAAACAGAAGTAATGCCTGTTGTGAACAAACAGAAACAAAGGTTATAGGGGATATCTAAGAATATAGGAAAGAAGCAGAGGTTCTATGGCTAGTGAACAAGGAAATAAGTGCTACAGGAAGGAAGTAGACAATTATAAAACATATGCAACACTCGTATATCTCTGCAATATAGACTCGTGTTGCATTTTTTCTTATTTATCCACTTGTCGGCTTTGTATGTCATTACTATAACATAGACTTCATGACGTCACGATGTCTACCTGACGTCACCTCGAGATGTCTGCTGACGTCACCTGGCGACATCACATGATGTCACATCGAGTGTTCTAGTAATTATTTCCCATCAAGCATTAGGGGAATTACCAATAAACCCCTGGCTGCCTTCAAGAGAGAGCTGGACAGATACCCAATGTCAGTGCCGGATCAGCCGGGCTGTGGCTCGTACGTTGGACTGCGTGCGGCCAGCAGTAACAACCTAGTTGATCAAGCCCTGATCCATCGGGAGGCCTGGTCATGGACCGGGCCGCGGGGGCGTTGATCCCCGGAATAACCTCCAGGTAACCTCCAGGTAGAAAACAAGTAAAGCAGAAATACCAATGAAATGCACAAAATAACACCGAGCAGACGCAGAAGGGCACAAGTTTGGATTTCCCAGGCTCAAAACGTTCGCAGGCTCTCACACAAAAAAAAAACAAATAACAAAGAGGGATCTGTTACACTATGCTGGTGCTGGGAAGTCCACACTGAGTGTTGTGTGGCGTAAGAGAGGGGAGGGAGAAGGTGGGGGAGGAAGAGGAGGAGCTTGGAGGACGGGGAAAACCAAGACAGATTGAGAAAGGGGAGAGGCCCCAAGCACTGTGCCGGAGGGGTGTATATATACATGTGTGACTGGCGCTCTGATCATCACACTCGCCTGGCGCTCTGTTTGTACGCCTAGCCTCCATCGCTCCACTGACATCTCAAAGTAAGATTATCATTATACTCATGGGAAAGCGCTAAATCCCTTTACGGTATTTAGCGCTTCCCCATGATGATCTTTACGTACTGCAGACAACAGTGAAGAAAAGACAGTTTGTAAAACAAGCTTTTATTGGGACAACGTTATCCTAATAACACCTTGCTCTGCATCGTGTAACTTTTTTTAAAGCCTGAGGAATAAGAGGTAATCAAGTTTGATACAAGGAAGGTAACTCGAGTTCTTGGGATCAAGAGCCCCTCTCAATATCTAGATATTTTGATAGGATCTCAAAGCAAGTTACGTTGATTCAAAGCTTTTCTTTGGTTTTGATTAGGCTTTTCACTTATAAGTGCCTTTACCCTAGTCTAATTGAAAACATCTGGGCTCTGGCTGAGTGAATAAAATACTGCGTACTCTGATACAGTGTGCAGGTTCGAATCCTGCTGTGGACCGAGAGAGAATGTTTGAAAACATCTTTAGTACGTTGAGAATTGACCCGTATGTTATTGATCCTAGGATGCGGTGTGTCATCGCCCTGTTGGCTGTGGCATCTCTGGTTTCTGTGGTGACCGCGGAGCCGGAACCTTTGTGGGATCGTGTGAGAAACGCAGCAAGAAACGTGTGGGAGTTCCCAGGTGAAGTTCGACGGGGAACTGGTGCCATGATTAAAGCCTACAAGTGAGTACAACTCATTCTGCATCGTTGAGTTACGACGTAGTCGACATTGGGTAAAAAGATGTGCAGAAAATGAGATCTTTATTAGTACTACTTTTCACCTACATATTGCTTTCTCAAGCACTTGATAAAGTCTTATGTAGACGAAATGGAGTGCTACCTAAAGATCTTAACTTGCTGTACGAGTCTTTTCATACGATTATTTTGTAACCTAACCAAACTTCGCAAATAAAAAATATATACGTAATGTATGTTATATTCTCCATGATAGAAGAGATGGGTAGGCCTCAATTTTTGGATCAAGTGTTTAAGAAATATGACACTGTTTAGTTTCCTAAGATTCGTTTAACTCTGGCTAAGAGTTTTTCCTTTGGGGAGTGAATGTTCAGGTAATCCCTTATTTAATTTTGGAATATGTATGAGGATAAATGTCTGGAATTAACCAGTTTCATCCATTACGCTCATAAATGTGACCGATTCCTCTGACAGAAGTAGCCAGTCTGTCTCATGATTAGCCGAAGGAGCATTGGCTCTCCACTATTTCCGATGAATGATTCCTTCCAGTTTAATGGTTGTTAATAATAATAATAATAATAATAATAATAATAATAACAACAATGCTAATAATGATATTTTCACAGGGACATGCGGGAGGCCAACTACATCGGCGCAGACAAGTACTTCCACTCCAGAGGTAACTATGATGCCGCCAAGCATGGAGCAGGAGGCCGCTTTGCTGCCACAGTCATAAGGCAAGTACCCTTCTCCCATCCTCTTCTCTACATAGAATGTTCGTTATCACTGATGTCGGCTTCTACACGATCGAAACAGGGACAGCAAATCAATATAATTTAGGTAAAAGGAGACATGTGTAACTAATGATAACGTTTCGCTCTCCAGGAGCTTTGTCAAGCCGTTACAAAGCTCTTGGAGAGCGAAACGTTGCCACAATAAAATATCGCATTAGTTGCACATACGTCCTTTTAACTAACATATTGTCAGTATTTCTACCAACATTATTACAAATATTCCAGGTTAAGTTAACTAACCAAACCTAAATATAGCATGTTTTCATGTTAGCCTTTAAGAACGAAATAGTAGATGACCACATCGACTCAAGGCTGAGGGACTGATTACCTCATTCTCCTCCTGTTCTTCAAGTTTCTCCTTTGTATGGACTGATGAAGCCACTGTGTGGCCAAACGTTTCCTCAATAAAGATAACAAGAGTTGCACATGTGTCTAATTCAACAAGAACGAAATAACAAATCTACAGAGTGGCATAATACAGACTCGGTGACTCCTAGTGCTTGCAGTTTTGCCAAGAGCTCCTTGTGCCATACTCAGTCAAAAACACCAGCAATATTTAGTGCTGCTACACAGCTGACCAGTGACTCGTACCACGTACTGAAGGGGTTTAACAGCAGCAGAGTGACCTTTTCTAAAGCCATATTAACTGTCACAAAGAAGTGAGTGGGAGCCGAAGAATGTTGTCATGTGCCAGAAGATTACTGTCTCAAGAATCTTAGACGGGAGTGACACAGGTCCGTAGTTGCAAATTTCCGCTCTGCTCTTCTTTTTGTGAACAGGGACTATATTTGCCTCTGTCTACAAAGGCCATTTACAGTGTTCTAAGTAATGCTGATAGATGCGAGTTAGAGGTGATATTAACTAGTTTCTCTCTCCTCTTCTCTCTCTTCTCATCGCTCTCTTCATAAGAACATAAGAAATGAAGAACTCTGCAGTAGGCCTGTTGGCCCATACTGGGTAGGTCCTTCACAAATACAACCCACTAATAGAATATTTGCCCAACCCATTATAAACGCTACCCAAGCAATAAGTTTTGATAAGAGATGAGAAGAGCGATGTACAAGTCCCACTCATATCCAACCCCTCTCACTCATGTATTTATCCAACCTAAATTTGAAACAACCCAAGGTTTTACCTTCAATAACCGTACTAGGCAGACTGTTCCACTCAACTACCCTATTTCCAAACCAATACTTTCCTATATCCTATAATCTCTCTTGGAGGGATATCCTGAAGGCCTTATTCATATCCCTTTTATTAACACCCATCTTCCACTTACACACTTCCATCATGTCTCCCTCTCATTCTTCGTCTTACAAGTGAATGTAATTTAAGGGACTTCACTCTTTCTTCATATGGAAGATTTCTAATGCTGAATATTAATTTGGTCATTCTTCGCTGAATGTTTTCTGACAAACTTATATCCCTTTTGTAATATAGAGACCAAAGCTGAGCTGAGTAATCTAGGTGAGGCCTTACCAGTACGTAAGTGTTTATTCAAGTATACACAGTTACAGTGATTATCATACATAGCAGCATATGTGAAGTGAACCCAGGATAACCCCAAAAAAAGTAAGACAGAGTGATAATTATTTATATTTAAAAATTTAAAATAGGTAAGTATCTCAGCTATATAAAAGCTGAGAAACGTTTCCTCAATAAAGATACCCAAGAGTTGCACATGTGTCTAATTTATCAACATGTCGGTTCTGTGAACCATTCATCTACAAATATATAAAAGCAGTTACGATAAAAGAAGATATACTAGGGGCAGAGACAAAAATTTTTATTTTCATACAAAAATCACTCCTCCCTTTCTGTAGCCTTATTCATGGGTACACTGTGGCTCTCTTCTTGAACTGGCTCATGCTATGACAGGCTTTGACATGTGCAGGCAGTCTATTCCACTCTTTTACTGCTGAACAGAAAAATGTCTTTGAAGCCTGACCACTGACTAGGTATTGCAAAGTTGCTTTCCCATTCCCTAGTTCTGTAATTACATTGGTTCTCGGCCTGAATAAAATTGGCAGGAAGATATTGGGGACACTGGTTGGGAACAATTTTATAAACGTCATTTAGCATTAGTTGATTTACTCTTGTCGTCAACATTCAGCATATCCAGTTATAATTCATTCTGGCCTACATGCTGTCTTGGACCCAAATCCAGAATGAATTTCACCATTTTCTTCTGGGTGATTTGTAACCTATCTTTCAGTTTTTTTGTTAAGGCAGAATATCATGAAGAGCAAGACATAGGGTCCTGCTAGCCTGTCTGTAGAGAAACTTTAGTCTGGCATTTGCTTTCTTTACAACAATGCTCCCTATTAGTTCTCCTCACATGCTTGGGTCTAAGGGGATTCCTAGATATTTCACTGAATTTACTGTAATAATAGGCTCCCCATTACACTGGACATTAAAATTATTTACCCTTTTTAATTTGTTTCGTGGCAAAGAGTATGGCTTCCGTTTTGCCGAGGTGTAGTGATAGTTTGTTGTCTACCAACCATCTGCTACAGGACTCTAGTTCTAGTGATAGTACATTAGCAATGTCTTGTGGGTCTTTACCTGATACTATCAGAGCACTATTATCTGCGTACAGTAGAAGCTTGCATGACACGATAGGCATGTTATTCACATAGCACAGGAATAGCAAAGGGCCCAGGATACTACCATGAGGAACCCCACATGTTATCGGCATGGGTTCTGATTCTGTGTTGTTGATCTTGACAATTTGGTTCCTGTTGTATAGAGCTATAAAATAACCGCTGGACTTCTATTGCTTATACATCTTGACATAAATCACAGTAATCTGTCTGCCTTATTACGTACACTAAGGCGTTGCTGTCTTGGTTTAAGGTTACTATTTACCATAATCCCCCCATCCCCCGCAAGTCCTTTTCGCATTCTGTACGGGTAGTTCTGCTATTTAGTTTATAAGCGCTAGGGTTATGGACATTCCCGAGCTTCAGAATTTTGCATTTGTCTACAATGAATTGCATCTGCCACTTTTCTGAACACGAACTTTGTCTAAATCCTCCTGAAGTTCAGTGACATCTATGTCAGAATCAATTATCTTACCTATCTTAGTGTCATCAGTGAATCGGCTCATATCACTAGTAATTCCCTCGTCAAGGTCATTGATATATATTATACTACTATTACTGCTGTTTAGTACTTTGGCAATCCAACTCTCTGCCAGTTGTGTACTTTCTGATAAAATTACAGTTTGTCTGGAATAAGATTATATTTTTCAATTCCTTCTTGCAGCAACGCTCGGGAGTTGACGGACACTCTCAGGGGTAAGGGCGGAAGTGATTCGGCGAGGGACCAGGAAGCCAACCGCTGGGGCCGCAATGGTGGTGACCCGAACCGCTACCGACCAAGAGGGTTGCCCGAAAAATATTAAGGATATCTCTGACCGGCTGTTTGGAGGGATCTTGTATCCTCACTTCGTTGTTGACCGTTCCTGTGACTTATCCAAACCTCACCAATTCATCCTTGGGTCTTCTGGCACCACCAGACAAACATCTAATTTGCCTTTCATCCTTTGATGTTATTTGCATCACAATGAAACAAGAAGGTGACGTCCTCGCCCTTACAATATATAGATGACGTCCTTACTCTTACAACATACAGATGACGTCCTTACTCTCACAACATACAAATGACGTCCTTACTCTCACAACATACAGATGACGTCCTTACTCTCACAACATACAGATGACGTCCTTACTCTCACAACATACAGATGACGTCCTTACTCTCACAACATACAGATGACGTCCTTGCTCTCCCCACAACTAACAGATCGCGTCCTTGCTCTCACAACATACAGATGACGTCCTTACTCTAACTACAATCACAACATACTGATGACGTCCTTACTCTCACAACATACTGATGACGTCCTTACTCTCACAACATACAGGTGACGTCGTCCTCAAGCTTACGAGAGATGGCAACCTAGTGGTGAACTTCCTTGACCACAGACTTCACTAAGTTCTCGTTATCTCGTTCGTTCACTCTCTCTCTCTGTCTCACACACACACGCGCACGCCTTCTTTACAGTAGTTTAGTCAAATGTATTAAAAAAAATAAATTGGTTAAATAGCAACATTATTTACGTCAATAACCAACAAAATCTTTTATTAAAATAAAACAATACAAATGTTTACTAAATATATATATTATAGACCAAACCATGAATTGCTTGGCATAATATCAAGACTCTTCAACAACTTGAATCGCGTTGTCAAATAAAAAGACAACGAGAATAGAAAAACCAAAACACATTTTCAGAGTCCTGGCCAAGCATACGGAGACGTTTCCGTTGCTGTGTGATTCGAGAATCACACAGCAAGCGAATCATGTAACCCCCAAGCCACTCTACCACTAACTATGCAAAATGAATAATACAGAGTGCGGCAAAAGTTTCTAATGCAGTGGTTTTCAACCTTTTTTTTTTGTCACATTCACCGTTTTCACCATATGTCAGAAAGTCATTTCCTAAGACTGACTCAAAAGGTGCATTCCAAATAATATGCATGTAATTTACATAATTATTTATATTTATAAATTAATTTGACTATCAACAAGTGCTTTTGACAACTATTAACACACACACACACACACACACACACACACAAAACCACACACACACACACACACACACACAGCATATGGGCGCCTGGAAAACCTGAGAATAACGTTCCGATACCTTAGTAAGGAATCGTTCAAGACACTGTACACTGTGTACATCAGGCCCATACTGGAGTATGCAGCACCAGTTTGGAACCCACACCTGGTCAAGCACGTCAAGAAATTAGAGAAAGTGAAAAGGTTTGCAACAAGGCTAGTTCCGGAGCTCAGGGGTATGTGCTACGAAGATAGGTTGAGGGAAATCGGACTGACAACACTGGAGGACAGGAGGGTCAGGGGAGACATGATAACGGCATACAAAATACTAGGTGAAACAGATAAGGTGGACAGAGACAGGCTGTTCCAGAGAGAGGACACAGAAACAAGGGGTCACAATTGGAAGCTGAAGACTCAGACGAGTCACAGGGATGTTAGGAAGTATTTCTTCAGTCATAGAGTCGTCAGGAAGTGGAATAGCCTAGCAAGTGATGTAGTGGAGGCAGGAACCATACACAGCTTTAAGACGAGGTATGATAAAGCTCAGGAAGCAGAGAGAGAGAGAGAGAGAGAGAGGACCCAGTAGCGACCAGTGAAGAGGCGGGGCCAGGAGCTGAGTCTCGACCCCTGCAACCACAATTAGGTGAGTACACACACACAGGAAGTATTTCTTCAGTCAGAGTTGTCATGCAGTGGAATATTCTGCAAAATGACGCAGTGGAGGCAGGATTCATACATAATTTTAAGACGAGGTTTGATAAAGCTCATGGAGCAGGGGCAAAGAGAGGACCTAGTAGCGACCAGTGAAGAGGCGGGGTCAGAAGCTATGAATCGACCCCTGCAACCATAATTAGGTGAGCGCGCGCACACACACACACACACACACAACACACACACACACACACACACACACACACACACACACACACACACAACAAATAAAAAAACACGATAAAAAGAGCTGAGACAACAAGTTTGGAATAAGATTGAACCGCAAGACCATTTAACATAGATGAAACATAAGATCATAAAGAGGGACGTAGTCCTACAACAGGCCTATGGGCCCATATTAGTTCCTGGGTGCTAGTCCAGGGAACTAAACTTAAAAGGAAGGACAGCAGGCGAGGGCACGAGGAGACAGTACCTAACTGGAGAGTGCCGAGAGGCAAAGATTTTCATACCCAGAAATGTAAACAGCAAAGGAACAAATCCCTGGGTTCAACCAGAGACACAGAGAGTAAAAACGAAAACATAAGAGCATTGAAAAACTAAAGAAAGCGAAGGACCGACGAGAACAAAGAAGTGAGCAGATTAGCCAGAAATGAGTATTCAAGAAAGAGGAGAAAGGCTGAGCTTTAATTTGAGAATGACACAGGAGCAAAGATCAAGTCGGAACAAAATCTGTTTCACAGCCACATCAGAAGAAAGACGACAGTGAAAGACGAGACACATCTTTTCGTAACCTTCAATAACGAAATAACAAATAGGCAGCGTGGTAGATATAAATACTGCTTAAAAACTTTAGTAACACACTAGGAAGTAGAACAAAACAAAGAAGGTACGACGGTAGTAGGAGGTTGTTGGGATAGCATCAGGTCAGGCCAAGTACCGTGTCAGGCGGCTCGCGCGCGCAGACACACACACACTTCTAAGTTGTGTATTTGCTGATTTCATTACGCACGTCAGACAAAGGATTTTTATAATCATTATGTTTACAGTAAAGTAGGAGTCATAGAGTGAATGGAAGAGACACTGGTTTGATCCTGGGAGGGTAGCTTCAATTCCTTATTTAAGAGTCCTTCACCAGCTTCAAGGGCCTTTACTGGAGGGGAAGGCACAAGCTGAACACAAGCGCAGAGCCGTAATTTCCTATTCTTCCTTCTTGCAGCAAGGGTCGGGAGGTGATTGATAGAATGAGGGGTGGGAGCAGACAGGTCATCCAGGCAAATCAAGAAGCCAGCAACTGGGGCTGCAATGGTAGTGACCCGAACATCTACCGACCTTACACATCTCTTCTGACCCGTTTGGAAGGCTTCTAAAACAGTCGCAGCCAGGCCTATGGCTAGGCTTCCTCACTCAATGCCTGGTTGTTGTTACCGGCGGCTCATCACAGCTTCACTATACCACTTCTTGCTTCAGCCACCTCAGTCACTGCCAGAACCTCATCTGCCTTTCATCTTGAAATGTCAGTAATTTGCATAACATGGAACCAGCGTGCAGGTGATGTTCTCGCCCTCACAACATGGAGGTGACGTAGTCCTCGAACTTAAAACATGATGCCTATTTCATCACCTGAATATCATTAAGTACGACGACAAGTGGTATGATAAGTCAGTGGTAACTCTCCTTCTCTATTTACTTCCTGTCATCCCACACACAAAGTGCCTTGCCTGACACTAGTACTGTGGGGCAACTGGACCCTGACACTAGAATTGAGGGGCCACTAGACCCTGACACTAGTATTGAGGGGCCACTGGACCCTGACACTAGTATTGAGGGGCCACTAGACCCTGACACTAGTATTGAGGGGCCACTAGACCCTGACCTAGTATGAGGGGCCACTGACCCTGACACTAGTACTGTGGGGCCACTGGACCCTACACACTGCGTGGACGGCCCTGAACCTGAACATGAGTATTTGAGGCCATCATGACCTGACAACTAGTAGTCAGTGGACCCTGGATACCCTGTACACACTAAGTCTTTGACACTTGGGGCCACTGGACCCTGACACTAGTACTGGGGGCCACTGGACCCTGACACTAGTACTGTGGGGCCACTGGACCCTGACACTAGTACTGTGGGGCCACTGGACCCTGACACTAGTACTGTGGGGCCACTGGACCCTGACACTAGTATGGTGGGGCCACTGGACCCTGACACTAGTATGGTGGGGCCACTGGACCCTGACACTAGTATGGTGGGGCCACTGGACCCTGACACTAGTGTTGAGGGGCCACTGGATCCTGACACTAGTATGGTGGGGCCACTGGACCCTGACACTAGTATGGTAGGGCCACTGGACCCTGACACTAGTAGTGGGACCACTGGACCCTGACACTAGTACTGTGGGGCCACTGAACCCTGACACTAGTACTGAGGGGCCACTGGACCCTGACACTAGTATTGTGGGGCCACTGGACCCCGACACTAGTACTGTGGGGCCACTGGACCCCGACACTAGTACTGTGGGGCCACTGGACCCCGACACTAGTACTGTGGGGCCACTGGACCCCGACACTAGTACTGTGGGGCCACTGGACCCCGACACTAGTACTGTGGGGTCTCTGGACCCCGACACTAGTACTGTGGGGCCACTGGACCCCGACACTAGTACTGTGGGGCCACTGGACCCCGACACTAGTACTGTGGGGCCACTGGACCCCGACACTAGTAGTGGGGCCACTGGACCCCGAAGCTAGTACTGTGGGGCCACTGGACCCCGACGCTAGTACTGTGGGGCCACTGGACCCCGACGCTAGTACTGTGGGGACACTGGACCCCGACGCTAGTACTGTGGGGACACTGGACCCCGACGCTAGTACTGTGGGGCCACTGGACCCCGACACTAGTACTGTGGGGCCACTGGACCCCGACACTAGTACTGTGGGGCCACTGGACCCCGACACTAGTACTGTGGGGCCACTGGTCCCCGACACTAGTACTGTGGGGCCACTGGTCCCCGACACTAGTACTGTGGGGCCACTGGACCCCGACACTAGTACTGTGGGGCCACTGGACCCCGACACTAGTACTGTGGGGCCACTGGACCCCGACACTAGTACTGTGGGGCCACTGGACCCCGACACTAGTACTGTGGGGCCACTGGACCCCGACACTAGTACTGTGGGGCCACTGGACCCCGACACTAGTACTGTGGGGCCACTGGTCCCCGACACTAGTACTGTGGGGCCACTGGTCCCCGACACTAGTACTGTGGGGCCACTGGTCCCCGACACTAGTACTGTGGGGCCACTGGACCCCGACACTAGTACTGTGGGGCCACTGGACCCCGACACTAGTACTGTGGGGCCACTGGACCCCGACACTAGTACTGTGGGGCCACTGGACCCCGACACTAGTACTGTGGGGCCACTGGTCCCCGACACTAGTACTGTGGGGCCACTGGACCCCGACACTAGTACTGTGGGGCCACTG